AGATAGAAAATACAAGGCATTAAGACAATGTGGAAGAACCATCAAAATAAATAAGAAAGAACAAGAGTTCTTGTTCTAATATGAAAGAATAAGAGTTCTCCCTCCAGTGTGGGAGAGGGAGAACTGAAAAAATGGTGTTGTGGAAGTCAAGTAAAAAAGCATTAAAAGAAAGAGGACGTGTTCAACTATGTCAGGCCAGTAATAGGTATAAGATGAAGACCATTTGATTTGTCAATGCAGAGGTCTTTGGTGACTTTGACAAGACCTATTTTGTTAGAGGGAGACAGTAGCCTGAATAAAGTTGTTTTAAGAGAGAATTACAGGAAAGGCAAGGAAATGAGCTTAAACAGTTTTTGAGTTTTACTAGAAAAAAGAGCAGGTAAAATGCTGATGGGAATTATGCAGGGAAAAATTGATTCAGCAGAGAGAGGGCATAATTTTCATAAGGGATGGGATCTAGTGCGCTTGAGGAGTGATTGGCCACAAATAGGAGCATTTATAATAATAAGACATTCAGGGACATGGATGCAGGTTGCAACGTAATGTAGAAATTTTCTAATGGCTCCTGTTTTTTCAAGGATGTATACCTAAAAGTTATCAGCTGAGAATAGGAGGAGGGAAGGAAATTTTGAGGATAAGAGAAATGTAGAAAAGCTCAGAAACAGCCCCCTAGGAGAGGACTGGGAATGAATGGGAAAGCAAATGGGATATTTAACAAGATTGGCCAAGAACCCGCCTTAGTTCATAGTTAGGAATGTAAAGTCTGACCAATGAAAAGTTCATTCAGTTTCTCATAGGCAGATATGGACTTGGCTTCAACCAGGACTAGAGTTTTACTAAGTAAACATGAACACATGTATCCTTTACTCCTTATTCCTTTCTGTCTGAAAACCAGTACTGTCTCCAGGCCCCAATTCAAAGCCAGTCACTTCCAAAATATCACTCACTGCAAAAATCGATTATGATTATGGAATCTACGCCAGAAAGGAGGGCAGTAAAGAAATGAAGTCAGGAACAGCTGTGAGATAGAATGAAAAGATGGTGGAGTTGGGAGGTCCCAAGATACCAAGGAATTATCAGAATTAGAATGGAAGGGAAAAGTAGGAAGCATCAGTCTGAGATGAAGGTGCTTGAAAGTCACATTCTAGAAGGACGCTCAATCATTGTAATGGCAAGATATGGGATATGACCGAGGAAGAGGTGAATTAGAATGGAGAATAAGATCACTGAAGGCAAAGAGGGCAAAGAACTGAGAGTTGAGGGTACTAGAAGGATCATCAATTCAATATTGAATTAATCAAGAATTATTGCAGGAGTAAGTAGCAGTGAATATACCTAGTACGTAGGTAATTGGTCTCTGTTACCACTTCCCACTAAAAGGAACCAGAATTCCTTGGAGACATGGTGGATTTCAGATAAAAATTTATGAAGTTGATAGAAGTTGAACCATAGTAGTACTGTGGTTTTGTAAGAGAATATCCCTATTGTTAGGAAATATTTAGGAGTAAAGGGTCATAATGTATGCATGATTCAGAAAATAGATTATGTGTGTGAGAGAGAGAGAGAGAGAGGAAGAGAATACAAATAATAAAGTAAAAAAGATTAGATGATATTAGGGAAATCTAGAAAAAAGGCACATAGTCTTCCTTTTGCTATTTTTATTTTTATATTTTCTGTAAGTCTGAGATTTCAGGGTTTTTGCTCAGGTTGGACTCAAACTTCTGGCCTCAAGCATTTCTCCATCTTCAGCCTCTCAAAGGATCTTAGGCATCTTAGGCATCCTTACTTAGGATCCTTACTTAGGATCTTAGGCATCTACCACCGCACCTAAGCAGAGCTCATAACTTTTAAAAGCCCGTTACAGTTCAATATATATTTAACATCTATCTGATCCCCAAGTCTTCCACATCCACTAAAGCTGCTGACCATGGATCACCACTTTAATCTCCAGAGTGCCCCCCTTTTTTTTCATTTGGAGACAGTCTCACTTTGTCGCCCTTGCTTGGTAGAGTGTCATGGTGTCATAGCTCACAGCAATCTCAACCTCTTGGGCTCAAGAGATTCTCTTGCCTCAGCTTCCCAAGTAGCTGGGACTACAGGTGCCTGTCACAGTGCCCAGCTGTTTTTAGAAAGGAGGTCTCAACCTGGCTTAGGCTGGTCTTGAACCTGTGAGCTCAGTCCGTCTACCCACCTTGTCCTCCCAGAGTGCTAAGATTACAAGCATGAGCCACTGTTCCTGCCCCACCCAGAGTGCCTTATTCGAGAGCCTTTTCCCACTCTCAGGTTAGCACAGAGCCTGTCATTTGCTTTCTTTTAGGAGCTCAGAGCTTCTATTAGTATTAGTTTATCACATCATAGATTAAATTGGATTTTGTGGACTCTTCTGATTATTTTTTTAACGTAGTGTTACAGGAAAATTTGTTCTCCATACCAGCAACTTAAAGGACCATTTTAGAACACAACTATAGTTCATGATGATCTATGTCCATAGCGAAAGTTAAAATAAATTGGACGCTGGGTGTGTTAGCTTATGCAATTAATCCCAACACTTTGGGAGGCCAAGCAGGGAGTTCAAGACCAGCCTGGGCAACACAGGGAGACCTCCTTTCTACAAAACAAAACAAAAGATTAAAAAGCGAGTTGTGGTGGTGCACTTCTGTGGTCCCAGCTACTTAGAAGGCTGAGACAGATGATCCCTTTGATACCGGATTTTGATACTGAATTTCTAGGCTCTTGGTGTCGGTGGTTCAAAGAATGAAGCAACGGACCACAGGATAGGTTTTATTCAACAGGTATAAGTGTTACAGCTCTTATAACAAGCCAAACCTCCTTGTAGAGTAGGATTAGCAGTAAGATAGGTTCTATAATATGAGTGTTACAGCTCTTACAAAGGGGCAAACCCCCTTGTGAGTGTTTATAGCTCTTACAAAGGGGCGAACCTCCTTGCAAGTGTTTACAGCTCTTACAAAGGGGCGAACCTCCTTGCAAGTGTTTACAGCTCTTACAAAGGGGCAAATCTCATAGAGCAGGATGCAAGTGTTAAAGAGCCAAACCTCTTTGCTCTTCTGCTCTTTCTCCTGAGATCTGCTGAGGTCTGTGCTCAGGGTCTCTGGCTTATATAGGGGCAGTTGTCCAGTGAGCTTTTGGGTCTTGAAAACAGACTAATCATGAGTAGGTTTTGAAAACGGACCAATCAGGGATGCACTGGAGGAACTGCCAGAAGTCCACGTGGGGGGGTGGGGGGGGCACCACTTGTCCGGTATCACCTTCAGCTAAGAAGTTCAAGGTTGTAGTGAACTGTGAGCACACTACTGCACTGCAGACTGGATGCCAGGGTGAGACCTGTTTTTAAAGATAGATAGATAGATAAATACTCTCTAAAAGTCTTAACACTGTCATGGGTTCCTACTTTAGCAACCTATTATTTCCTTTCTTTTAGTTATAGTTTTTGATGTTTTTGTATTATTACAAGTAAGAATTGAAAATATAAAAATTAAATTAATTTTTAAAATTTATGTATGTATTTCTTAAAGGAAAATAGAAAAAAGTAGCATTTCTTTACTCATATTTTATTTGGCTTACTATAAAAATGAAAAGATGTTCTTAGTTTTGACTCTGCTAATAGACAGTTTTTCATATATTTGAGATACGAATCCACATTCACAGAGTGAGTCTTGTGACAGGTTTGAATCAGTCTAGTTGTGCTAACTCAGAATGGGATACTGGAAGATTTCATGATGACTCAGTGGGCAATTAAATGCTCAGGAATTCATGGTTTATTGAGAGGCTTTCCCACACCAACAATCACAAATACATTCAGGACATATACCGGTGGTAAAGAGAGAGGGAGAAGCAACCGCAGTGAACAGCTGGGAACACCAGGTCACTGAATGATGGATTGTGGGTCAAGTTTTCCTCAGAACACTGGCCAGTAGCAGGTTGTCGCCCTTTTTTGAGCCGGGCTTCCGGCAACCACAGCCTTGGGAAAACAGGCTCAGAGTTCTCAGGGGCCTGTTAGCTGCGTTTTGGCTTCATTTTCTTGTCAGGTCTCAGGAGGGCCTGGCCACACCAGGTGTGGTATTATCATCTCAGGCTCCCATAGATGTGCCCATCACCCTGCAGGTCAGCAGGTTCACTGTAGGCTGAGTCATTTGTCATTAGTGACTCCATTTGGAGACATTTGAGATCACAAAACACTATTATTTATCAGTGAGTTATACCATGTTTTCTATGTCCTGATCATGTTTGATTTACCTTTAAGTAATTAATGTTACAGAGGATTGGATTAAAATCTGATCAATATGAGGTTTATGTGCATATTTTTCTTTAAATCTGAACTATAAAATTTATAGATTAGAAAAATAATGCATTTCATGTCCTTGTCCCTAAACTTGTTTATTTAGAAGCAAATTAAAGATTAGGAGTAGAAACTTTTCAGTAATACTTCTGCTGATCATCTATACACAGTATAATTTGGGGCAACTTTTTTTAATCTATGAAAAACAGGAGTAACACCATCTTTGTATCATTAGTTTCATTGGAGTTTTAGGATGACTGTTAAATACATAGAATTGAGGTTTATTTTCATTTTTTTCTTTCCCTTCCTTCCCTTTTCAACTTCTCTTCTTATTTTGAGGTCTTATTCCTGAGTTTTTGAAAGAAAGAAACCTAATGGTCAGTTGCCAAAGGGTATTTCTTAGGAATACTGTGCTATAATGCACAAAAATAACACTGGGCATTTGGTTCACACCTGCCACAGGTGCAAAACTATGAAGTATTGACAAAAATGTCTTCCCTGTGCAGAGTGAATAGGACTCCCACATCCATGCTTGGTGTCTCTACAGAAATTGCTGGCTATGCCTCAAGTCCAAAACTGTAACTTAAACTGAACATTTCCAGTTAATGTTCTCTTTGTCGGAGGGGCCTGAACTTTTTCCCAGTTAAAGAAAAAAATGTATTTATATATTTGTAACTTTTGTGTGTGTGCTAAATTCTTACAGCTCTGCACACAAGGAGATGCAAGTCAGGTGATTGGGCCACTTACTGAAGGACAGAGAAGAAATGTGACAGTAGTGAATTCACTGTATAAGTTGCACCATTCAGTAACAAAGGTAACCTTTTTTATTTTTATTCAGATTTTTAAACTTATTTTAGTTTCATCGTTCTTCTTGCCTCAAATTTAGATAATTACAAATTCCTACTTAATTTTTGGAAAAGAATACAATGAAAATGTGATGATTATAAAATAAGCTAAAGAGTCTTTGATCCTGGCCTCTGTGATTTTATTTATTTATTTATTTATTTTGGTTTGTATATTTGGCCTAAAACATATGAAATTTAGATCCTCGATTTAATCAAGTTTATTGAGCAAATTATTATTAGAGGGTAAATCAGGCATGTTTCATGCTTATTGAAAAGCATACTTTGGTATAATGTGCAGGGCAGTAAATTATAGCAAAGCTAATATCAGATAAGAACCTTTAATCCCTCCAGCTGTCAAAAAGTTTTTCTCTGTGCACAAAAAGGCAGGGAGGAGCTGTATTAAAAGCTGAATTTTTATGATATAATCACTGATGAGTACTTGCACGTGTAGACAATATATTTTTCTCTTTGCTATTCTTTTTCCTGAAGTGTTTAAAAGAAATGAATGAACCTTAACTTGTTTGCCTCCACATATTGCATCAAGGCAAACTGTATTCTTAATTATGTAGGTCACTACAAAAGTTTTGAGGCAGATCATGTGGTCCATTATTTCATTCACAGGAAACACAGTAAATAACTTCCTTTCTGATTCACTCATGCAAGTTTCAACTTGCTTAGCTTATCAGTGTTGCTGGGAGGGTTTCATTTGTTTCCATCCACAAGGATTTTACTTTTTTTTTTTGTAGAGACAGAGTTTCCCTTATAGCCCTCAGTAGAGTACTGTGATGTCATGGTTCATAGCAACCTCCAACTCCTGGGCTTGGGTGATTCTCTTGCCTCAGCCTCCCAAGTAACTGGGACTACAGGCACGCGCCACAATGCCCAGCTATTTTTTTGTTGCAGTTTGGCCAGGGCCAGGTTTGAACCCGCCACCCTTGGTATATGGGTCCAGTACCCTACTCACTGAGCCACAGGTGCCGCCCAGGATTTTACGTTTCTTGATTCTCACATATTTGAAAACTTTCATAAAGACCTATGATTACTAGGAAAGCAACACTTTGAACTCCATCTGTGACTTTTGAGTAGCTGTGTTTAATTATTCCCTGTAGGTCACTTAAAAAGCATGTATAATAAATAGGAAGATAAGAATTCAGAAAACCTGAAAGAAACTAAGAGTTAGATGATGCTCTTGAAAACTTGACCTCTAATATGAGCTTTAATATGCTACATTGGATTTGTTAATACTTGTAAGTGACTATTCATTTATTTAAAGACTTTAACAATTCCTTTAAAAAATATGTCTTTCACAAACTAAACAAAATATATTGTAGAGCTTATAACAGGTAAATCTTTAGATAAAATTATTAAAAATACTAAACGACATATTTCCCATTGCCTTTAATCATTGCTGTGATTTAATCGCAAGCAATGAAAGGTTGTATTCTGGTAGCCCAAATGTCTTTATTGAGATTTTCAAAATTATGTGATGTTTGTATTGATTTGTAAAAGCAGAAATGCTGACATTTGTATTTTAAAGACTTGTTGAAAATTAGAGTCAGCCTAAGGAAAAGTAAATTTTTTTAAAGAAATGAGTAAATGTGATTTTATACTGACCTTTCAAGGTAAAATAATTGCATGTTATTGTGAAATGAATAAAGGAAACCCAGCTTTTAGTATTCTTAACATTATTTGAAATATGTACAGGTATTTGCTTTATACATGAAAGTACTATATTTTTCAACCTATTTTGATAAATACTAATGAGTTTTTCAATCATGTATAAGACATTACTATACTGATAATACTTTATATATAGCTTATGAAAACAACTCTATCATGTTATGATCAAAATTGGTATTTATAAAAATAAACTTAAGCAAAACTATAACTGGATCAAAATCTTGTTCTAGGTAGTTTCCAGTCAGAACTCATTCCCACCAGCAGCTGAGCAAACTATAATATCTGCCCTAAAGGTAAAAGAATTTAATTTAATCTTTGACTCTATAGATCAAAGTAGTTTTAGACTTGGTTGACTGAGTGGTTGATGTTCTGTTTTGAAAATACAGTGGAGCCTCCATAACTGATCACTTCCTTAAGTTGACCTAATTTTCATAGACCAGACATGAGCCACTTGTACAAATCAGTACAGGAGGCCTAGTTCCTTCTGTTACCACCTCTGTATGTTGAACAGTTTGTTATAGTCCCTGAGTGGTTAAGTTACAGAAGTTCTACTGTAATTCAGAATCCTCTGTATGTGCAAAAGTAGCATGTTGATAATTATCCTAAAGAGGGAAGATACAAGTGTGTTTGTATCTTCTAGAATTTAAAAGTGGACCTTTTGGTGTGTACAGATTGTATTCTGCATGTGGTACTAGTATACACAGAAGTGAGAATCTTAGCAGTATTTACTGTATGCAAGGGTGGTATAACCCATTGTTATCCCAGTGAAGCCATGGTTCTTCACTAAAGTGACTTTTGTCTCCTAGGGGACTTTTGGCAATGTCTGGAGACATTTTGGGTTTGTCATGACTAAGGAGGGAGCTGTTACTGGTATCTAGTCAGTGGAGGTCAAGGATACTATAAACATCCTGTAATCCTCTGACAAGAAGGATTATCCAGCTGAAAATGTCAGTAATACCAAGGTTTTGAAATCTTAATTTAATGTGTGGTGTAAAACTAGGGTATAGTCTCATTTTTATTTATATGCCAACATAAATTGTACCCTTTTTCTATTTATTTGATCAAAAAATAACAGTATCAGGTTCACAGCCATATGGAGTTGACAGTAAGTAACTTGTTAAAAAAAAAAAAAAAAAGCAAAGCAAATCATTCTTTTTTTCTTTTCTTTTTTTTTTTTTTTGAGACAGAGTCTCAAGCTATCATCCTGGGCAGAGTGCCATGGCAGCACAGCTTACAGCAACCTCAAACTCTTGGGCTTAAGCAGTTCTCTTGCTTCAAAGTAGCTGGGACTATAAGTGCCCCCCATAACGCCCAGCTATTTTTTTTGCTGCAGTTGTCATTGTAGTTTTAGCTGGCCCAGATTGGGTTCGAACCAGACAGCCTGGGTGTATGTGGCCAGCACCCTACCCAACTGAGCTACAGGCGCCACCCCAAATCATTCATTCTTATAACAGTAATAGATATCCTTTATATAACACCTGCTACTTGCCAGGCATATACAAAAGCATATTTTAAACTATTACAGCAAAAGCCGTCAAGTCATGTGTTATTACTCCCATTTTATACATCTTAGAATGCTGACTTGCCGAAGGTCATATAGCTGGTAAATCCAGACCTCATTGATTTGACAGAGTTATGTCAGCGGTGCACGTAGCTCAGTGGGTAGCCTGCCAGCCACGTACACCAAGGCAGATGAATTCAGACCTAGCCCGGGCCTGCTAAACAATGACAACCACAACAAAAAAATGGCCGGGCATTGTGGCAGACGCCTGTAGTCCCAGCTAGTCCAGAGCCTGAGGCAAGAGAATCGTCTAAGTCCAAGATTTAGGTTCCTGTGAGTTGTGATGCTATGGTACTCTTCTGAGGGTGACAAAGTGAGACTGTATCTCAAAAAAAAAATAATAATAATAATAAGTCATGTTATGTCTACTGTACCTTGCCGCTATCATTCTTCATTATTTCTTTCACTAAATACTTATTTAGTACTTAGTAAGTAAGTGAATGAGGTAATACAGTGTACAGTCTGGAGCCAAACTACCTATATGTGAGTCCTATCTCTGCTATTTAACCAGCTCTATGACCTCGCACAAGTTCATAAGCTTTCTGTTGCCCTTATTTCTACATCTGTAAAATGATGCAGTAAGCCTAAAATAAGTTAACAAATTTCAACCGTAAGTTAGATTTAAACCACTGAGGGAGAGTTTTTTTTTTTTTTTAAAGGTGAGATGAAGGCCTACAAATAAACTCTAAGAAGAAAAACTTATATTTAGAGAGTAAAGGTAATACAGACAAAGGGAAAGAGAGAAGAAGGGAAAAAAATAGGAGAGCACAATGTCACAAATCCTAAAGGAGAAGGAAACTTCTGAAATCAAATGCTGTCCATAGGTTACATGGATAGAGATTTAACAGGCACCAAAGTACGAGGACCCTGAATTCATGTCTGAATGAATTTGACACATGGAAGGTAAGAGGAGACAGTCTGTTTGTCTTCAGCATATTGAGAATACATTTGGATGTATTTTTAGGACTCTTTTTCTTTTCCCCAATGGGCTTGTCTCATTGTGATAAAATATCATGGAAACTGCCATAACAAAATACCTGTGATTATTTTTAGTAGAGTTGTCAAATTTACTGATCATAAAAATACCATGTAATCAGGGCATTGTGGCAAACCTAAAAGTTTTAACATTCTTGATTCCAGGCAGGAAGCAGATAGGGCTTTGGGGGGGGGGGGGTTGTTTCCTTATAATTCTACATTTTTCTCCTATCTTCTAGTAGGAGCTGTCAAACTTTTTTTGACCACTACCCAAAATAAATACATTTTGCTTTGTGATTCCATACATAATACGTAAGCATTTATATATAGCTCTACGTATGTAATCACATATATATAGAATGTGCATCTGTATACATTTCTATAATTGACAGAGAAGTTTCACAAAATTATGCTTATCCTTATTTTGTGTATGTGCTTTAATATTTTCTATGCTAATCTATTATTTTTAAAACATTCCATAGTGACCCACTAAATTGATTTTTTGACCCCCAATAGTCACAACCTGTAGTTTGAGAAAGTCGATTCTAATGGCAAATCAGAGTGCCTTCACTTTGATGATAAAAATCACTCAGAAATAAAAATTCCACAGACACTATAATTTGGCATATTTTTAACACACAACAAAGAATATTCTTAATATTAGTCACTTTGGACTGGAGTTGGAGCCAGTGCAGAGAAAATTGCCCCGATCTTAGGCTACAGCTTTCACACTGAGGTTTGCTCACCCACCAGGACCAGTGCCTTATGTATTAATAGCTAGATGCAGTAGGTTGCTGAGGCATCACCAACTTTGCACTTGATAACTGGATAAGAGGGTTAGCAAGGAATCAAGGCCCTTCTTCAGTGGTCTTGTCAGTTCGAGATTTAATTGCTTGTGTTAACACACTCAGTGAAAGTTTTAACTTTGCTTTCTAGCTGTCTTTTTTTTTTTTTTTTTGGGTAAAGATGAAGTCTCACCACGTTGCCCAGGCTGGTTTCAAACTCCTGACCTGAAGCAATCCTCCTGCCTCAGCCTCCCAAATTGCTGGGATTATAGGGGTCAACTACTGTGCCTGACTATCTAGCTAAGTCTTATAATAATAAAACCATTATGACTTACTTAGTAAAAATCAAACAAAACCCACTGACTCAAAGGGAAAAAAGAGAACCTTGAGCTTAATAAAATTATAGGAAATTTATTCAGTCACTTTGAATTAGAGATAGAATGTTGATTTGTAAATGACTACAGCCCAAGACCAAAAATTTATGATTTTTTTTTTTTTTTTTGGCTGGGGCTGGGTTTGAACCCACCACCTCCAGCATATGGGGCCGGCACCCTACTCCTTTGAGCCACAGGCGCTGGCCTATGATTGTATTTGATAGAGAAAACATTGAGTGTACTTTTTACTCACTAAAAATATAGGCATATAGTCTTTTCTTCTCTACCTTGTTGAGATTTTATCCAAAATTAATTGTTATTTGAGGCTTGAGTTTCATCATTGCATGTTCTTTTTTTTTTATTCAAAAGCATTGAGTGTTCACAGTAAGCCAGGTATTAGTGGTATTCAGTGAAAGACACAGAAAAAGTGGCTTTAATTATAGTGAGGAGCCCAGTGGTGACGTGTGATGATGAAAAATGGAGCACAGCTAGGTGCAATGCCTGTAATCCCAGCACTTTGGAGGCCGAGACAGGTGAATAGCCTGAGCTCACAGGTTTGAGATCAGCCTGAGCCAGAGTGAAACCTTGTCTCTAAAAAATGGCCGGGCATTGGCTCGGCGCCTGTGGCTCAAGCAGCTAAGGCGCCAGCCACATACACCTAAGGTGGTGGGTTCGAATCCCCAGCCTGGG